CCCGCTCCACACACAGAACGCGCTCTACCCAAAGGAAGACCTCAATCAACGCCCCGAGACCAGTGCCTTAACAGCGTAGTTCAGAACGCAGACCACCAGCGTCCGGCTTCGAGACGGCTGATGCCATCCACAGATTGGTAGGCATAGCCATCGAAGTCGGTACACAAGTCCTGGCCGACATAAGGGCCGGGGCAGACCCCGTTACCGCCGTCATGAAGGCACTGGCATCGCTACTGGCAGGGCACTACGGAGGATAGCAACCTGCGTCTGCTTTACTGGAACCCGGACGGGATTCGCCAAAGGATCCATGAACTCCGCACTGTCACCCAGCAACAGGACATCCAGGTGATCTTGCTGGGTGAAACCAAATTAAGACCTACAACGCATCTTAAGCTGCCTAACTACACCATCTACAGGAGGGACGAGGTCGATCCTCAAGGGGTCGCTTATAGAGGGACAGCGATCCTGGTGAGGAGAGACATCGTCCACCAGGAACTGGACCTGCCAGACGTCCAGTCGACGCGTTCAATCGGCATAAAAATGGAGGCGGCGGGCGAGGAACTAAGGATCTTTGCAGCATACCGCCCGCCAGGGACTCCATTTCACTCCTCAGACATCCGGACGGTAATGGAAGGTACGGCACCCGCCATCATCGCCGGGGACCTGAACGCCAAACACCCGGCGTGGGGGTCCAGAGTGATCACCCCGCCGGGTCGTGAACTCTACGAAGATGCGGAAAACAATGATTACGACGTTCTAGGTCCCGAGGAACCGACGCACATTCCTAGCGACCATAGGAAGCGTCCGGATGTATTGGACATCGTGCTCACTAGGAACGTCAACTATCCAGTAGTGGTAGAAGTGCTGTATGACTTGAATACACTGACTGATAACCCTTGGCACTAAGGCAGTGACTTCACCGCCCAGAGCCGTCAAGACCAAGATCGACTGGAGGCTCTACCACCAACACCTGCAGGAGAGACCTCCAGTCCATACGCCGATCAACTCAGCGGACGACGTAGAGGCCGCTGCAACTAGAATATCCACGTGCATCCAGGAGGCCCTCAACGCGGCCTCTACGATCGTCCCTCTCACGGGGAGAAAAGAGGAGCTGCCGCTAAGACTACGCGTGCAGCTCAACCATAAAAGAGCGCTGAGAAAGCTCTGGGCGCGTACTCGCTGCCCTAGAGTAAAAAGGAGACTTAACACCCTGTCAAACGAACTGTCGGTTGCAATACAGGCCCACAGAGGAGAGGCCTGGGAGCGGCGCATATGGAAGGCTGACGAACAGCACGCGTCGCTCTACACATTGAACCGGCAGTTAACGAAAACTCGACCACCTGTTTGCCCGCTGACCAACAACGCGGGCATTCAACGTTACGATGCCAAGGGCAGAGCGGATATCCTAGCTGAGCACTTCGAGGAGCAGTTTATGCCGAACCCAGCAAGTGCGGAGTTCCTGGAATCCCATACACGGAAGGAGAGCCGCGTGCAGGAGCTCCTGTCGTCGCCCGCGCCACCGCTTGCAGGAGAGTGGTTTATCTCCCCCGCCGAACTGCGGAGGACAGTAACCCGCCTGCAACCGAGGAAGGCGCCGGGGCACGACGGGATTACCAACGCTGCACTACGACAGCTGCCCAATAGAGTCCTTGTAGAGATAGGTCGGCTCTACAACGGAAATTGCTGACATCCCACTTCCCGGAGGACTGGAAGAAAGGCAAAGTCATCGTCTTGCCGAAACCCGGGAAGGACAGGCGTAGAGCTGCCAACTACAGGCCGATCACGCTACTACCGCATATAGCTAAACTGTGCGAAAGATTACTGTTGAGACGTCTCCGCCCGTGCATCCAACTTCGGGCGGAGCAACATGGATTCAGGAGGGGTCACTCCACAGCAACACAGCTGACCAGAGTGCTGCACCTGCTTGCGGCCGAACACAACCGTGGCCGCATATCGTTGGGCGTCTTTCTCGATATCGAGAAGGCGTTCGACCGGGTGTGGCACACAGGACTACTCTACAAGCTAGATGAACAAACAAGTATCCCTCCTGCTATATTGCGGCTAGTAGCGTCTTTCCTGGAAGGCAGGAAGTTCTACGTCTGCGTAGAGGACGCCGAGTCCGCAATAAAAACCATAACAGCTGGTGTGCCACAGAGCAGCCGTCTATCTCCAGCCCTGTACGCGGCGTACACTAATGACATACCTACCCTGGCAGGACACTTGCACGAATGGGAGGACGACGTTGAACTAGCGCTATTTGCGGATGACAGCGCATACTTCACGTCGTCCAGAAGAGCCCACATAGCAGCTGCCAGGATGCAACGTCTGCTGGACCTGCTGCCACCATGGTTGGATGAGTGGAGGATGGCCGTCAATGTTAGCAAGACGACCGCTCTACTCACTCGCCGCTATAGAAATCTACCACCACCGCTAACCCTCGGAGGCCAGGAGATCGCATATGAGAAGGCCGTGACCTACCTTGGATGTCGGATTGACAGGATGTTGCGTATGACTGCGCACGTTGACTCTGCTATACGCAAAGCTCGATGTGCGCGGGCAATGCTCCGCCCTGTCCTGACATCCAAGTTACCGACAAAGTCGAAGTTAACTATCTATAAAACCTACATAAGACCCCTGCTAACATACGCTGCTCCGGCCTGGTATGCGCTCCTGAGCGATCGTCAGAAGCGGCGACTTCAGGCCCAGCAGAGTTTGTCATTACTAACTATAGTCGGTGCGGGTCGCTACGTCCGTAATGACGTCATAGCGGCCAACCTTAAGATGGAGAGCCTGCATGAATTCGTGGTCCGGCTGGCGCGCGGTATGTTTGACCGCGCCGACAACGGGCCACACGAACACCTCAACGGCTTCGCGCCGTTGCACTCTCGGCCGCCGGACGGGCGACCCTATCCAAGAGAACTCCTCCCTATATAGATTAGGGAGTTGAGTAAATCCCACAATGCCGCAGAAAGGCCAACTCAGACAAATAATTTGTGTTAAACACAAATTATTAGATAACCACCATTAATGACAAATTTAACCAACTGCGACAAAAGTCGCTAATTCAACGCCTGTAACATCAAGGCGCCCAGGACCGGCACACTGTAGTGTGCCGTGAGGAACATCCGGGTAAAGGGGTACACCCCGAGGCCCGAGATCTGCACGGCATTATGCCCTGCAGAGGACAACAACGACGTTGCAATTCGTTCGGAAATCCTTCGGGAAAGTTCGGGGAAGTTCGGAGAAACTTCGGGAAAAGTGCAAGACCAGCAGTCAATAAGAAGAAGAAAGAAAAAGTGTAGGGAAGTGATAGGGAAAAGTAATTACTCTCTCACGGAACGGTTTGAAGATAATTGCTGTTTTATTCCCAAGGAATTCTTCCCTCAAAATAATACAGTCCACATCGAAGAATTAAGGCGTTGGGACCGGGACGACTTCGGAAGACCCGTAATCCCCGCCTGAACCTATTTTCTGAAAAGGAAGAGGTTATCGCCCTTGTGTTTTACTCCGTTGCGGAGATCACATACGTTGTTCCCGAACCCAACGTAGGCGTTATAGGAGGCCGGATCGAGAGAAGCCTCGATTCCCCCTTCTGTTTTTTAGTTAACGTTCGTCTGGTTCCTTTTCAATATAGGTATATATAATATACTAGCTTACCAGGCAGACGTCCTGCCCTTTTCAAAGACCCTTTGTCATATCCTATTAAAATTGTGGGTCACTCATGGGCAAAAAATATCCTATCTCTCAAGTTGGACCAAAGTGTACACGGTGTGCAAATTTGATTAAAATCAGTTAAGCAGTTTAGGAGTCCATCACGGACAAACAACGTGACACGTAATTTATATATGTTAAGATATAGTAGTTAATAAACTAGCTTCGCTGTTGTCGCGACAAATTTTTACGTTATAGATTCTTATCTATTTCCGTATATACACTCTTATCTATGCTATTGACAGGTCTCATAGGCGTACGACCGTAGATAAAGAAATGACCATCGGGGTGGGTGACATTCAGTGTTGCCAACTCAGATTTTCAAATAGGCATAGGCTGGATTAGAAAAATACGTAGAATTAGTACAATTTTGCATATGGAAGGTTCGTAGATCTACGTACTTTTTTTTGAGTGAAATGAAGAACATAGATTGAAGTATGTATTTGTCAGGATACAAATGAAGAACAGGTTAAGGTCGGAGAAACTGAATAAAATAAATGTTTTTTTTAATAGTTCTTTAAATGGATTTTTATAAATTCGTGTGATTGTGTTCCTGTGTAGACTCGCGGTTTATTTTTAATTCATTTTCGTAAAAAGAGCCTGTTAGCGTGTATTTTTAATTCACTTTTCGTAAAAAGTACGCCTGTACGCGTGTCGGTGGGAAGTTTGTTTCTGATGTTAGTTTTCATTTTGGTCAATAAAGGGAACATTTAAAACGAATCTAATTTTCTTATTTTTGAAATATTCGATTCGTTTTACACATTCACGTGAGTAAAACGGAATGTTTTTTTGATTTTTTTTCCTCGAATACTGGAAATGTTACCCTTTCAGCCTAATGACTCATGTTATTTGTAAAATTTGAAAAAAAATATACATAGATTCTGAAACTGAAGTTCGTAGATTTGCAGGAAAGGCCAAAAATACGTAGATCTACGTAAAAAAACGTAGAGTTGGCAACCCTGGAGACATTACTCACGAAAGGAGCGCGATTCCATTGTATCGCTGCCGATACATAGTAATGGTCAGACACCTTATGTTGTATTACAGCTGATTCAATTAATGACAAAGGTGCCCTTATATAAATATGATCTAAGCACGATTCTACAATGTTACCCATGACTATTTCCCTTCGTGTTACATCGCATATGCACCTGGAAAAACCATGTTCCGCCATTATATTTTCATACTATTTTACACTGTTATCTTGATATTTTAAAAGGTCAATATTTATGTCACCACAGAGTATTGCTTTTGAGTGCTTAGGTAATTTGCTTAATAAATTTCTTAATTCAACCAAAAATTCTCGAATTATGTCTTGGTTGCGGAATCGAGGCGAAAGTACGTCTAGTCCATTCTATATTCGAACTGCTCACATTGATAATATCGCCTATTTTCGAGACAATCTCTGTGAGATTTTCACCGGGAAGCTGTTCAACGCCTACAATCTCGATATTGTGTTTACGAGATACCTGCTCGAATTGATGTAATTTTTGTTCGAGGGCGGTGTTTTGTTTTTGCAAATAGACGTATTCGTTGTTGACATCAGCTACAGTTTTCTCAAGCTTATGTATTTTAACTTTTGATTGTTCATGTAATATTAATGTATCATATTTATCGGTAAGCATACTCAAATTTTGCGTAATTGAATCAAGTTGTTTTTTGAACCCGGGAATGGCAGCCACTTTTAGCTGTATGTCCTTGAAAATTTTAGTGCAGTTCTTTGAATATTCTTCCTGTTCTTCTTCTTCAGATCCATCGTCTTCACAGTTATTACAATAGATCCGTTCCATTTTTTATGTCCGCCAAAAGACCCTTAACACAACCTCTATCAAAAGTTCCTTGACACGGTCCTTGGCAAATGAAGTGTGATCCTCTTTTAGCTAAAATCTTCTTACATTTTTGACGCGTATTTAACAATTAGAGATGTGTAGGTATATCAATAGATTGCGCGAGCGCACCGCGTAAGGAATTCCCTGCGCGCGTATACCCGGGTTAGCGCCTAGAATGAGACTGAGTTGTTATTGTCCTTTCTAATCTAATCCATGGATACCGGTAAAGTTGTTCAAAACGACTATAAATAAATAGCACGCAACAGGCTATAAACTATAAATTTCTAGCGTGCTATTAAATACGCTATGTTATAGCACGCTACTCGTATTTGTAAGAAAGCGTGTAGGTGGCCGACAAGCGCGTTAAGTTTTGTAGCACGCTATATCTCGTAGCACGTTACACGACATGTCGTTCGTCTGATAGACCGCGTGCTATATAAGAACATTATTTCGTAATAAGCGCATTTTAGACTAAAATAAAATAAAGCGGTAAAGAAAAACCAATGAAATTTCTTTCATAGTTTCAGGCTTACGACTTTTTATAATCCTAAAAATATTTTTAAGTCATGTACTTTTTAAAACAAAATAAAATATTATTTATATTATTTTTTATTATAATCGGTGAAAACGTTATTTAAACCTTAATATAAATTATAAATCAATTAAAGGTGTATTATAAGTTTATTGATTGTATATACAAAAATCAACTATTTACGTACACTATTATAATGTACACTTTTGTTTGTATATTTTTTTACATTTAAAAACATTAGTTAGGCAGCAATAACTATACAGTATACACTAGCTAAACAATGTCTAACACTAAATTAGGTCACGCACGACGAATAGCGTGCTACTAGATCAAATTTGCGTCACACGTCCACTCCCAATAGCGCGGCTGCTAGAACTAGTTGCCGCTAGATATTAAAGCTGAGAACAAATTATCGGACGCGTCCGTCAGCCGCGGCTGACTGACGCGGCTTAGCGGTGTGCACGGTAGCTGAGACGGCGTCCTCGGATGCCCGCTTCGGTCATTCCAGAAAGGTTTTGTCAATCGAGAAACATGACAAACAGTGACAGCGAGGAAGAATTTATAAAGTTAGCGGCAGCTGCTTTATGTCGTCCTCCAAAAAATAGGGGACCCAAACACTCCTTGTCCATGATATGTAAAACGAGTCGAGTATGATGAATTTCATACATTGTATCCAGACTTACAAAAAAGATGATAAACGTTAAAAAATGTACTTATGAATGTACTAATATGTACTTATAAATATAGGCACTCGTGGCCATGAACACATTCAATTAATTTTTTTTCATTACACATCATGTCGCGAGCGTAGTTGGTTCGCTTGTGACACTCGAAACGTCCGCGGACGCGTCCCGTGCCCCATTCACACTGTCCGCGGACGCACCAAACATCCAGCCGGCAGATTCTGTTCGGACGTCCGAACGCTCAAGAGCGACGCAAGGTCATGTCCGCGTCTTACGGCCGATAGTTTGCACAGTGTAGTATTAAATGTACTGGCTAGATCTCAATAAGCCGCGGCTGTCAGCCGCGTCCGATAATTTGTTCTCAGCTTAATACTCAATAGCGTCAAAGCGCCATAGCGCCATGGCGACTTCTTGCATAGCACGCGCTATGGAAAGATAGCATGCTATAATAATGGGCTATGCGCTATATTAACCACCATTAAATCCCGGCCATAGAATAATAAGTATATATACAGAAAATCCTGGCGAATAACCTTATCTGTGCTGTGAATTTACTTTATCAAAAATATTCTGTGAGTAAATATTATATGTTGAAGTTTATAGTAACGAGTTCGTGTAGCATTAACTTCAATTTGATTTATCGAGGAATGTACGTTGCAGTTTGCACATTTGTTAAAGTATTGTTGTTACTTTAAGTATTACTAGGCGTGTTTGAAAATATCGTGATTAATCGAAAATAGGTCTTTTAATGCTAGCTTTAATTAATAAACGAGTCTAGTATGGTCGATATGAATCGAACTGAAGATCGATGTTTTTTAAGTAAATCGACATGGTTACTCAGAAGTCAATCACAAAATAGCGTTTCATTTTACGATCACTTTGAAGCATTAAACATAAGTGTATCTCTTTTTAGTAATAAATATATAATATTCAATTAAGTATATGTATATAATTAGTTATCTTTGTAAAAAAACTGTTTTCTTTTTAGACAAACTGTAAAACGATTTATTACACGCATTTTTTTCCCTTAATACACTAACCAGAACACGACTATCAAAACAACTCATTTTTTTTTCAGATTTCTTGATTCCGTTTACATTTTCACAAAATCTATAGGCAATTTACTATTATAATTTGGTATCTTTTTTTTTTGGTGTAATACCATTAAAGGTCGGTAATATTTCTAGTGGGCCCAAAAATGATTGTCATCTTTAGGAAATGAAAGAGGAACAGAGACAAGAGTATGTGGATCAAAAAAGGCGAGAAAGTCCAAACTATCAGCCTGGAAGCCTAGTACTGGTGGACTCGCATACCCTAAGCAGAGCTAGTCATGGATCTAGCTCAAAGCTTGCTCCTCGGCGAGACGGACCTTAAGTCATCACGCGTGGACATGGGCCAAGTTCATTTGAAGTTGCGCATTGTGATACCAAAGTACCAGCTGGAATTTATCATGCATCTGCGTTACGACAGTACGATACCGGAAGTAATGCTGAAATACCACAACCTCTAATCGCAATCCGGAAAAGAGGTCGACCGAAGAAGAAATTCAGTCGGAGGGGAGACTGTAACATTACATCATTAACTTCCACAAAACAAACCAGACGGCACTGCAACAAGATGTACTCCGATTTGCTATCTAGTGTTCGAAGCCTGCTTTTGTTTATATAGCTTCATGATTCCTAGACCGCAAAATAGCTGCTTCCACTTGGTGGGACAGTATATACGAACGTTAAGGAACAACGTTGCTACAGAGGTGGCAAACCTTACGCTTCCCTCGTGGAACTTAACGTTAACGTTGTAAGCTGTCTGTAGGAGCGAAGCACAGTTAATATTATTGTAAAGTGTAACGTGTCGTGCATTAAAAGCTATTTTTCGTATCTCCGTCTATTACAAGTCTAGTACAATATTATGTAAACTTGTTTTATATAAATATAAAAGTGCACCAGATAAAAATCTATTTTTTTATAAATTTGTTACGTAATTAAAGAACGAGTAGAATAACCTTTCTGTGCCTTATGTGCCAATTGAAACTATATTTATTCATAAGAAGCTAATTCAAAACAAACAAGGAACTTTTGAGCATGGTAGAGTGGAAACAGATCAGACTTACATGTTTTTTTTTTAAATTTATATGATAGTGTATGTTTTCTCTTTCGTTACAACGTTTCTTCTATGGATTGCCTCATTAGTTTTTATTTATAATTGTCATTAGGAAGACGCTGCTGCCTATCTCCTGGTTTATTTTCCTCCGATGCCTCTTACGATTACGACACCATCGGCACGATATGGGGTAGTGGATATTCTTATACTATACGGTTATACAAATTTTTATTTGGACTTTACAATAACTAATATTATTGTTCGCGACGGCCTAACAACGTTAAGAAACAGAGTTATAAAGAATATTGTTTTTGTATTAATAATGAAATTGCCGACAAAACTGGATGAAAACGTGTATTAATATAGATGTTTATCATGTTTATAACTCTTAGTATATTTGTATAGAATGTAGTTTTGATAACAAGTAATATAAACAACTTTTATTATATTAAGAAAAATCGACCAATCACAGCGCGTATTATCGTAGAACTCTAGAAGTTTTTTAATTAACTGTGTAATAGTTCATACTAAAAATAATGAAAATAATTTTATGTTCTAAAAGAGTTATAAATATGACATTGGATTAGCATATGGCTTATAGATTAAAGAAGTGTAGGAATATTATGTATAATTAAACGTATTTGATAGTTATATAAAAATTAAAGAATTAATGTACCCAAATATTATGAAAATTTGGGACATTTCGTTTAATAACTTTTTACAATGTTAATGTTTTAAGGAACCTTTATGATATACTAATAAAGTACCAGACGATTTAATGATGCATGTTAGTGTAGCAATTAGCTTTGTATAGAGAATATTGCAATTTATGCCATTTGTATAGTGAAAAGTTTATGCAATAAAGAGGCAAAACGGAAAATGGCAAGCGGCTCACTGTAAAGTATTGCTAAAGTCTACCTTAGGGGCTCACGACCCAGTAGGAGTAGTAGTGTGAAGAACTACCAGTGACAAGTGAAGTGTAGTGAGTGGTATCCGGTGGTAGCTGAAGTGACTAGTAGCAGTATATAGTGAATAGTGAAAGTGTTAGCTAGCCGAAAAAGGTCGTAACTGATATTCGCAGTTACACATAGTGAAAGTGTTAGCTAGCCGAAAAAGGTCGTAACTGATATTCGCAGTTACACATAATGAAAGTGTTAGCTAGCCTAAAAAGGTCGTAACTGATATTCACAGTTACATATAGTGAAAGTGTTAGCTAGCCTAAAGAGGTCGTAACTGATATTCGCAGTTACATATAGTGAAAGTGTTAGCTAGCCTAAAAAGGTCGTAACTGATATTCGCAGTTACATATAGTGAAAGTGGTAACTGATATCCGCAGTTACACAAGTGATAAAATCAGCTAGTTTAGTTGATAATAGCTGCTAGTCAGTAGTGTTAGAAAACCAGCTACTACCAATAGATATTTGATACCACCGTACAATTTAAAGAAATCTTTTGAAATATACAGTGACCAACCAATAGTGAACAACCGTAGTTCAACCGTGTTATAAAATTTCGCGACTAATTAATCAGTCGAACCGCTGGCCAGTACCTTGCTATTTGTATTTATTAATCGTGCATTTTGATTTGAACCTCAGTCCACAATATTTCAGCGGCAACCACAAAGACGGCAGTGAAAGTACCCATCG